CTTTATTGCACTGAACTGTCATGGTATATGGGATAAATACAATTATCGCACTGCTTTATTGCACTGAACTGCCATGATGTATGGAATAAAGACAATTATTACACTGCTTTATTACACGGAACTGCCATAGTAAATGCGATAAATACAATTATCGCACTGCTTTATTGCACTGAACTGCCATGATGTATGGAATAAAGACAATTATTACACTGCTTTATTACACGGAACTGCCATAGTAAATGGGATAAATACAATTATTACACTGCTTTATTGCACTGAACTGCCATGATATATGGGATAAATATAAATAATACACTGCTTTATTGCACTGAACTGTCATGGTATATGGGATAAATACAATTATCGCACTGCTTTATTGCACTGAACTGCCGTGATGTATGGAATAAAGACAATTATTACACTGCTTTATTACACGGAACTGCCATAGTAAATGCGATAAATACAATTATTACACTGCTTTATTGCACTGAACTGCCATGGTATATGGGATAAATACAATTATTACACTGCTTTATTACATGGAACTGCCATGGTAAATGGGATAAATACAATTATCACACTGCTTTATTACACTGAACTGCCATGATGTATGGGATAAATACAATTATTACACTGCTTTATTGCACTGAACTGCCTTGGTATATGGGATAAAGACAATTATTACACTGCTTTATTACACTGAACTGCCATGATGTATGGGATAAATACAATTATCACACTGCTTTATTACACGGAACTGTCATGGTATATGGGATAAATACAATTATCACACTGCTTTATTACACTGAACTGCCTTGGTATATGGGATAAAGACAATTATCACACTGCTTTATTACACTGAACTGCCTTGGTATATGGGATAAATACAATTATCACACTGCTTTATTACACTGAACTGCCTTGGTATATGGGATAAATACAATTAATACACTGCTTTATTGCACTGAACTGCCTTGGTATATGGGATAAATACAATTATCACACTGCTTTATTACACTGAACTGCCATGATATATGGGATAAAGACAATTATTACACTGCTTTATTACACGGAACTGCCATAGTAAATGGGATAAATACAATTATTACACTGCTTTATTGCACTGAACTGCCATGATATATGGGATAAATATAAATAATACACTACTTTATTGCACTGAACTGTCATGGTATATGGGATAAATACAATTATCGCACTGCTTTATTACACTGAACTGCCATGATATATGGGATAAAGACAATTGTTACACTGCTTTATTACACGGAACTGCCATAGTAAATGGGATAAATACAATTATTACACTGCTTTATTACACTGAACTGCCATGATATATGAGATAAAGACAA